CAGACTCCCAGGCCCTGCCCCAGACTTGCTGGACCAGAGTCTGCATGTTGCCAAGATGCCCAGGTGATTCCATGCACATTACTGTCTCTGCAATTGTGATTTGATAGTTTGGGAAGTACTGGCCTGGACAGTAGACTTCAGACAGGTGTGTGTGTGTTTGGGGGAAGAACAGAGGAGGTAATTTGGGAGGACTTGAGGCCTCTGATGATGGGAAGGGAAATTCTGTGACTCCCATCAGAAAGATGGACATTCAATCTGTAAGACCGTAGACTGGAGGCCAAGTGACAAATTAGCAAAATGAGCTTATCCCAGCCTTACAGATAGAGATGGGTACTTACCAGCCTGATCACATTCTTAATGACAAGGCTCACGTGCAGAAACTGGGAGCACCATTTTGTTTACACTGCTTTGTGGCCCATAGCTTTACTTTTCTTTGAACTGTATTTGTTTTTATGTATATATTTAAGCCGAGCCCACTTTTGGGAGGAAGGGAGCAGGGAGACTGGACCCCATCAGTGTTGGATAGAAAAATAGTCAAGGCCTCCAAGCAGGCAGGCAGCAGGAGAGGAAGTTTCTTAATAAAATGAACAAGGCGACTTCACACCAACTTGATGTGGGCCAGCCAGCTCTGCTGTGCTGACAACACTGTGGTTTATTTCAGGGCAGCTGCTGAAAATTTCTTGGAATGTAGAATTTGGGCAGAGATGAAGCAGAAAAAAGAAGAGAAAAGTAAAATGGATTAGCAGCAAATAAAAAGTGTCCCTGAGCTCTGGGCTCCCTCTCACGGTGTGCATTTCACCTGGCTCCATGCTTCAGGTTGCTATTCTTTGTTTCTTCCCCAGCCTTGACTTTGCTGGTCAAGGCATCTTCAGGCTTTTAGGGACTCATCCTCCAGTTTGGGGCAGGGAGAGAAGACAACGCAACCCCCTTAATATGAAGGTGCACCCTAAAGGCCCAAGGTCAACTTGATATTGTGCTCTAGGAAGGGGAGACAGAACTTGGAGCCCGGGGTTTTTGGGTAAACTTCTTGGATCCTCCACCTGCCTACTTTTTTCACCAGGCTGATGGCCTCATTCGGTGTGCCCTAACCCTGGCATAAGGGTGTCCCTGTGCAAGGTGTGGGTGCTTGGCATTCGATGGGAGGACTTTCTCCTCATGCTTGGCAGAGGGCCAGGAACAACGTGGAGGGCGGCAAAGATCAGGGCCAAGACACTTGGGTGAGCCACTAGAAGGTTAGGACATCCCAAGCTCCTAGGCCATGTGGGAACAGACTTTAGCATTACCACCTACCTACCTTCCTTCTGGTCCAACAGTGGAGAGTTATCTCAAGAATCGCCAGTGGACCAGCCTGCCCTCCAGTGGTGCTCGGCCCTAACTGCACCCTCCTGGCCTCACTTTTCACTATGGGGTGGAAGGCTCCTCCTGAGACCAACTTGTTCTACCCACAGGCAGAAGAGAGGGCACTGTTCTCCTGTTATTTGGGGCATCTTTCCACCTCATATGACATTCAACCCTAAAAAGGGAAGGGAACTAGCATGTAACCAGTACTTACTTCTTTGTACCAGGGACTTTGCACACCTTGCTTCCCTGACCTCTCCATAGTCCTGGGGCTACATACAGTTCCTGGGGGTGATAGTTCCTGCCCTCAAAGACAGGTAGTAAGGGGTCAAGTCACATTCCATTCCACGCCAGTCTGACTTTTCCAAAGTCATATTCCTAAGGTACCACCCACCTATGGAAACCTTCCAAGTCAGGAGTTTGCAGGGTTCTGCAAAGACCAGGCAAGCAGCAGAAAGTGGTGGTAGTGGTGAGGGGGGTCAGGACACTGGAGAATGGTAGGGCTTGCAGCAAACTGAGGGATGTGTGCCCGTCCAAAAGGCACAGTCATGTGGCTCCAGCAGATTACTCTTGAGTGGGAATGCTGGACTAGCACTTAAGAGAAACCAGAATCTGGATTTTTATGTAAAAATTCCCAATTTTTTTTGGCAGCCAGCCAGTATGGGGATCCAAACCCTTGACCATGATGTTATCAACACCATGCTTTAACCAACTGGGCTAACTGGCCAGCTCCTAAAAGTTCTCGATTTTAAATACTGACAATTAATTCAGAAAAGAGTTTAAATATTATGCAAGTCTAACAAAAATGTTTCTAACATTTTGAGCTTCTAACATTCTCTGAGCTTTTATAATGTCCTGAAGTTACAGGTGAGGTCTGGAGAGAGGAGGTAACTTGCTCATGATCATCTGACCATCTAGAGACAGCATCTGAGCTTAAACCCATGTCTGCTGACTCCCAGGCCAGTACTCCTCTCAGTATACCTCCTAGCTGTTTGCCCTGCTCTCCAGTCCCCGGGTGCTGTGGGTTAAATGGGTCCTCCAAAAGTTTATGTATTGAAAGCTTGACCCCCATTGTAACAGTGTTAAGAGGGTGGGAAATCCAATTATGGTATTTGAAGGGTGGGGTCTTTAAGAGGTGATTGGATTGTGAGGACTGTGCCCTCATGAGTGGATTGATCCATTCATGGAGTAATGGGCATGGTCTTCTTATAAGTGCCCTCCTTATAAGGAGGGCATGTGAGAAGGTTAGCTCTCTCTTGCTCAGCCCATTCTTGTCATGTGACACCCTGGTCACCATGGGACCCTGTAGAAAGTTCCCGCCTAGAAGAAGGCCCTCACCAGATGTGTTCCTTGGGCTTTGGACTTCCTGGCTTCTGAACTGTAAGAAATAAATTTCATTCCTTTATAAATTACCCAGTTTCATATATTCTGTTATAAGCGACAGAAATGGGCTAACACAGCGGGGCAGGGGGTGAACCACTTCTGACCTCGGTGGGGTAGCAGAAAACATCAGACTCAGGCTAGATGCTGGGAGACCACGCACATTCATTGGCCACACTTGGCTTACAGCATAGCAGGGCCCTCCTTGTCCCCTCTTGGAAGTAACAAGAACACAGTATAACACGTGGAGCCCTTGGGGGTTCACCTAGATTCTGGTGAGGTAGTGGCTAGACCCAGTGGCCTTGCCTAATGTCTCTGCAGTGCCCACCCCTGTACTGTCAAACCTGGCTTTGTCCCTTACACAGGACAGACTGGGCCCACCCACTCCTAAGGTCAGGCTTGCTCAGCCTGGACCTGGACCCCAAATCTTTGGAAGCCAGTGTTTAAAGGGGTGAGAGAATGTCATCCAGTTTACAGATGGAAAAAAATGAGGCTTGAGGCAGAAGGGGACTTCACAGCTGAGTCCCCAGCTTGGCCTGGAGTGGTGGCCTTTGGGTCACTGGGCCCATCAATGCTTGGCAACATCTCTCTCCCAGCTTGGAGTGGAAGACTTTCCCTGGCTTAGCTTCTCTGGAAATGCAATCTATAAATACATATTTGATTTTAAAAAGTAATAAATTAGATCTTGGGCCAGTCTGAGGTTGTCTGGCCAGCCACATGTCATGTGACATGGACATTTGTTCTGCATCTTATATATACCACCAATCATATGTCCTGCTACTTGCTGTGCTAGGATCCACGCCATTGATCACATGTGTCACACTACAGGTTTCACGCAATGCCATGTCAAGAGGTCACACTACCACCACATACGACCTTCCACGTCATGCATTACATCATGACACCCTCATTGTTCCACATGTCACACGTCACATGTGATGCAACATACTCCTTTGGTCGTACCAGGCTCCTGGTCCCCAAGGAAGTCCTCCCTGAGGACTGTAGCAGGACAAACATATCCCTTCCTCCTGGACCAAGGTGCAAGGCACCCAGCTGAAGCTCTTTTTCTGAGCCCTTTTTCTGAGCCCTCTGTCCTGGTGGGTGAAGTTGGCGTAGCTTGGCTGGATCCCAAGGATCTTGAGGGAGCTGTCAAGAACCCCGAGGGGCCTGGGGCTGGTTGTCGAAGAAGGCAAAGTCCAGCCTGGGCTCCTGGCACTGCAGACGCTTGACCACATCGGGGGGAATGGGGTTATTCCAGAGGCTGCAGGGCACAGAGACCAGTATCAGCATGAGGAGCTGCTCACTCATCCTCCTGTCTCTGCCCCTGTCCTATCTACAGATTGGGAGACCAAGGCCCAAAATGGGAAGAGCTGCACCCAGAGTAAGCTGGCAGAGGCAGGTACTAGAACAATATGGCTGCCCTAGGGAGATGGTGTCCCCCATACCCAGCTCCTGACTTCTCCCATTCAGTCTTCTTCCCTAGGAGCTAGTGATCCCAGCCAGGGTTATGCTCATATTTGTGCAAATAAGGAAAAGTAAAGTGTCTTTACTTCCATCCATCTGAAATTGTCATAATATATTGATTTCCATAGAACAGGACACTTCACTACCATCTGCTAGAAATCTAACATGTCTCTGATGTGAATGGTATCCCATAGATGCAATGCCTTTGTGCAGTGCACAACTTACACAACTGTATGTGGTGGTGGCCCTGATTATAGCTACCATTTTAAGTGCTTACTCTGTGCCAGGCATTGAGCTCAGTGCTTTATGTGCTCATTTAGTTCTCACAACTCTCTGAGGCAGAGACTATCATTATTTCCATTTTACATTTGAGGAAATTGAGGTTCAGAGAGGTTGAGTTACTGATACAAAGTTACACAACTGGCAAGTGGCAGAGCTGAGATTTGATACAGATCTTCTTGCTGCCAAATTCTTGGTGGAATGGTCTAAGTCTCCTTTGATAATCAATCCTCAATCTAGGCCCTGCCTCTTCTTATAGTGAATCCTCTTAGATTGTGGGGGTTGTTGTGGAGTCCCACCCACCATCCGTGCCCCCACAAGCCTCTGTTACCGGATGACTTGGATGCCAGACCCCAGGGCCAGCCCTTCAGCCAGGAACCAGGCTCCACAAGCTGTGATCTGATTCTTCTCCAGGCTTCTCAGTGCACAGCAGAAGAAGGGGAAAGAGAGAGACGGGCTTGAGACTGGGTGAGAGGGCTTCCCTATGTCCTTCCCCAGGCCAAGATGGGGAACGTGGTCTCTCCACACTACCTTCTCAGAGAGCCCAACAGACAACAGTGGATTCGTAGCAGGTACAAAAGGAATGCTGAAGCTAGAACCCAAGAGAACTAAGCTTGGCAGGGGCTTGGAGCAGACCAGAGTGTCCAGCTCAAGGAGGGCTTTCCAGGAGGCAGAGGACTGACTCAGTGGCTTCTTTGCTTGTCTCAGGAACCAGGTCCCCCTTCAGCCCTCCCCTCCGCCTCTGGCTTCCCAGGCTGTGTCCCTCATACTCTACTCTCTTCAATCGGGCCATCCGCGGCAGAACCTGGGCCAGCTCAGCAGCCGCCTCATCCCCGAGGAGATTCCAGGACAACCTGCAGAACAGGGGTCCCAAGGTCAGTGGCAGGAGAGCAGTGAAGTTGAGGGGTCGAGACAAGACAGCAGGGGGTGGGTACTGGGGGCCAGTGATGGGAGGTCACAAGGGAGGCCACCTGATGGGGGGCTTGTGTGCCCTCCCCTGAAGACTTTTCAGGGCATAGGTGGCTCCTTCCTTCTCACTCTTCACCCCCTCCCCCATTCCTGAGCTGGTCATCTCTCAAGAACCCAGACAGCTTAGGAGTTGACTGTCCCAAGAGTTCCAGGCTTGGCCTGGAGTTCAGAACACATGGTCCACAGAAATGTCATGACTCTAACTTCTACCATGCACCTGCCCCCATCACGATTTTCGTCACATCCTAGCACCTCCTATACTATAATGTGTGTCATATTTTTCTTTAAATTGACCCTGTCCCCTTTTTTTACTTAAACCATTAATCTTAAAAGAAAACATTTTTCATTACTATTCGTAGAAAACCTATGTCAAAAATCCTAAAGAGAAGATAGTTGCAAGGATAAATACAGTGTGAGCAATGACATTAACTTGTAGCTTGAACCCATTCCTAAGATGCTGAGTCTGGCCTGCTCCTGTTGGTTAGAAAGAATCACCAGTGTTAGGTGTTAAAGATGATTTAGCACTGATCTGATTCTTTCTCTTTGGTGATGAAAAGGTTTAAGATCTTTAGGAAGCAAACCTAAAATCCTCTTGTAACCACTTGTGTCCTGTACTTTTAGGAAATAGTCTTTTCTTCCATACTGTGGTGAGGGTCCCAGGCTAATCCTGATGGTCTAGCTTACCCACGAGGCAGTGCCGCAAGGCCCTGAGGCCTAAGCAATTCTGATTGTCAAGAGGGAGCCGCACACAGCCAGCAGGCAGGGCGGGGGCGGGCAGAGGGGTGCCTGCTGGCCTCGCCACTCTTCAATACCAACAGTGGTTCATAAATGGAGTCTCCATAAACCAGGCAAAGTGGTCTATCCCACTGCCTCCCATATGGAAGGTCTAGGCAAAGAACCTTTAGAGGCCACATCACTCCTCTCCTCCACTCCCACCACTCCGCAGACGGGGAAACAGTCAGGAGATGCTGAATGGCGTTGTGCAAGGTCACCCTTAGCTCAAGTGCTAAAACTTATTCGAGAGAAGGTTTGAGCAAGAATAATCTTCCTCATATATAGATGGGAGGACCAGCCAGAGAGGAAGGGACCAGCTCCAGGCCATGCAGAGGGCCAGCACCAACCCCCTGCCTGCCCCTCCCCCCCCACCTACTTTTCCTAGCTCAGGGCTCTTGCAGGCACTCACAAGATTTCTTCCAGGGCTGGGCAGAGCATGAAGCTGGCAATGAGGAGCTTGGCAGTCTTGTTGTCAATCTCACAGGAAACCAGACTGGGGAGGGAGAAGGGGACGGGGTAGACGGTGCATGAATCGGAGGCACCTCTAAGCAGGTCCCTTTCTCCCACAATGAGAGCAGGAGGGAGCAGAGCAGCAGGGCCTGGGGCAGGGTGGGAGTCTTAGGAAAGTGCCCCATCCTTGCTCCAGCTTCCGTGCCCCCCTTCACTCCTGAGTCTTGTCACTTCAAAGGCCTTCCTTGCCACAGCCAAAGGACTGGTCCATACCCCACCACAGGTCCCCAGGCAGTCAGGGAAGGCTACTTACTCAATCCGTCTGAGCAGTGGGAGCCCTTTTGAAAAATGTGGGACTCCTCCGGCCAGGATGTTCTCTGCCAAGCTGCAGTGCAGGGGAGAATCCTTAAGGGGAACCCCTAGGTCCTCCCTGGTCTGTCCCCCTGCCCAGGATGCGTGGCCCCTACTCACCTGATCTCCTCCACATGTGAGCATCCATCTAGGGCCTGGCCCAGGCTCAGGGTCCCCTCTGGGCCCAGACGGCTGGATGGCAGGCTAGGAAAAGGGGAAGGATAAGAGGAACCCCAGGGGTACACCTGTGTGTATTGGGGGCCTTTTGAGAGCCCCTCACTCTCAGCTGTGTCTCAGGCTGCAGCACCAGACCTTTGACGGTCTCTGGGTAACTATCATCCCAGGACCTGGGTAGGCATCAAGGGCCCTGGCTTTGGGATCTGAGATTCCAAGTTCAAGGCTTGGCTTCTTATGAATTAGTAAGGTAAACTCTCCACACCTCTCCTGGCCTTAGTTCCCTTGCCTGGAAAATGGAGCACACAAAAATCCTGGCCCTACAGGGCTGCCATAAAGCTCAAATGAGGCCATGGACTTAAACTGTAAAGTACTGAGGCCACCTGGTGCTTTTCTCCCACACGGCTCTTTGCTGACATTTCCACATCCACCCTCAGAGCCTGGCTCACAGGGCAGGCTG